AAACATTTAGCTCATTTGGACTTCTAGAACTCCAGATATGGGCCAAACAAGAAACAGTGCGCGGGTTGTAGGAGAAATTTAGACTTCTTTGTTGTTGCTATAATTTGGACTTGAAAATGACCTTTTTAAATCTTGGGCTCTTATGAAAGTTGTAGGCCTATGTCTTACCTTTCCATCCGTATAAAATAGACCTAAATCTGAGATCTACATCTCTCGATATGACCCAGTTAACGAACAGTGTTCTGGTTTGGAGTACACCACCATCTCTTTTCTAAGTTTGGCCATCTTTTTATCCTTTCAATTTCAGTTCTTAAATTCATCAATCAATCCTTTTATTTACATGATAGGCCTGCATTTAACATGAATATTTACCACAAATTAAAGGTATCTTTAGCTAGAAAGACATATATTGATATTTGTTAGGCTCATACCATTTTGGGTATGGTGATCGAAATGATTTATGTAAAATCAAAGTGATTTGTTTCATACTAACCAACTTCTCAAACATCTCTCTCAAAGGCAAAGGGAGAGGTGACAAGGCATTTCTATTCTATCATGGATGTCCATGCGGCTGCCCTACTATCCTTCTATTATTCCATTTCTCTCTTGGTTGATTTTGTTTGAACCCCAACTAGTGAACCTTATTGTCTTTTTTTTAGTTTTCCTGAAAATAATTCTACCTACTTTTATGGCTTGCTCGATTCTCTTAGCTACCACCATTGTATCGATGAAGTGTTAGGTTAGGGCACCAATTAGATGCTCAAATTAAAGGTCTTTTAAAGTATTAAAAAATAGATTAATCATTTTTTTATCAAACAGGGGTGGATCAATTTGAGCAGCCTTCTCCCTCCATCGTTTTGCATATTCGCGTACTAATTCATGGCTCCCTTTCTTTAATGCTAATATACTGGATTGTTCTAGAGTTATGTCCATATTGTATTTATATTACTTGATGAAGGCATCCACAAGGTTTTTCTATCTTTGAAATTTGGTGTTATTTAACCTCATGTAGCAGCTTAGTGTTATCCTATTTAGGTTATCCTAAAAGAAATGCATTAATAATTTTTTATCATGCACAACTTCTACAATCTTAGTACAATAACACTTAAAAAGTGAGTGTTAGGGCATTGAGTTCTAATGTACTTTATGAACTCAGATAAACGTAAATTCTTTGGTATAATCACATTCAAGATTAGACATATTTTTATAGCTTGTACGAGGTTATCCGAGTTTGCTCGCTCGATGGCCTTCATCACTCTTTATCTTGTCATAGTCAATATCCTCAACATACTTCTTTTTTTTTACTCGTTAGCAAATACATCAACAACTACTTGGGTGGGTGTAGGTATTGTGGACTACATAAAGGTTGTGTTATATTAGGGGTCCTAAGCCTATCACTTTATCCTTTCTTAGGTTGAGTTATTGAAAAAGCAATGGGTCGATTAGACGAGCCTTTACCATAAAGGTGTTTGAGTGTCTACTCAAGCAAGCTTATGATGTGAGTCATGTTAACCTTCAGGGATTCCAATTCCTCTAGGAAGTGGGCATCATAACAAGCATGTTCTTCATCCTCCATACTTCTTTGTCACAAAATTGAATGTTATGAACTTTGCATATTAGGGCTTTCTAGGGACTTATATTTCAATTTGTGCATGTCCACATGACATTTAAACATGATTGCATGTATGCTTATGAATGCAAGTATATATACATATACATCAAATATGGATTAACTTGTTCAAATATCTAATCCATGACTTTTTTGTCGAATATAGGAAAAAATCTACATTCTGATTAATTTGAAAAGATTTTTTCTAAATCCTTATCTCGGTTAAATCTCATACATATTGAAAAGTATAAAGCAAAAAGGTGGCTTTGAGCCACTTTCATTTAAAAAAGACAAAATGATTTTTATGTGCAATAATTTCCCAACCTTGGTCTTTGGGCAATTCCGCTTATTAGTTACATCATCTCAGATTTTTGTATGTTACCTGTATTTAGAAAAAATCATGGTCTTAGCTTAGAAAATCCTATTGAATTTAGAATTATTGATCAAATTTGTCTTGATAAAAAATAAATTATTATAGTTTTTATTCTAAGAGCATATTTTAAGCCACTACATAAGGGCATTCTAATGCATATTCTAAGATTCAAATAATTCATCATCTTTTACAACCATAATTCTTCTATTTAGACATTCTAATGCATCGTATCCTAAACCATGACATTTAAAACATCTAATATCACATTTTCACTAAAGTTGGGTTTTGGTTTTGACCTTATGTTTGTTGGTCGAATCTAGCTTTTTTTGGATGAAAGGTTCAGCAACTTTATATTTAATTTACTGCTTCGATGGCACAGTGCCTTCTCTCTTGTAATTCAACTTCTAACTTGAAGAAAAACCCACAAAACCATTTAGACATGCACTACTCTTTCTTTTTATTTATTTCTCCATTTTTATAGCCAAATACATCAACTTGTCTAAATCCATATAAGGTTGTAACTCTATCACAATAACTGTCTCTATTCAACTCATTCAAAAACCTAGACATTGTAACTTCCTCTCTTCAACTATATTATCTCTAATCATAGCAACTTCTAAATCATTTTAATACTCCTTAATGTTGCGTGCATAATATCAAATAGCAGAATTACCTTTTAAATTGAAAGGTGTTTTAGATTTAATCATAATTTAAGAGTCATTATATTATATCATGATCACAGCTCATTAAGAAACCTATAATTTATGAGAGTCTGATACAAGAACTAGTTATGCAAATAAAAAACACATCACCTTAGCATACTCTACCTATAGTAAACTACATTATTAATTAATTATTATTATAAATTATATTTCTATCACTTAGTCTTATCTAAGATTTCTATAAGTTAATCTCATCTAAGGTTTATGTTAGATTTAAAGTAAATCTTTTTTTATAAAAAAATATTTCTTATCAAATTAAATCCTAATAATTTTAAAGCTCAAATACATGCATTACATTTCTTTTCTACCTTTTATCTTTAATACTTAAAAATATATTTTACAATATAATTTTATACCTTCAGAGTCTACATCTAAATCTTTTTTCCAGACTATACATTTGCTCGTATTCCTACCGTTCCCTTTTCCTCCAGCCACAAAAGTAACTATAACTGAATTTTCTAGCTTGAAAACGTCTTAAGTAAAGAGACCTGCTTTAGTGAAGTAATTCCTCAACATAAACATCTAAGGAGAGAAATGATCTATGTTCATTAAGTTTGAGCAAACAATCTCAAATTCATATCACAAATTTTTTTAAAATTTAAAACAATAAAAGAATTAATATACCCTAAAATCCAGGACATTAACCAAGCATCTTAAACCTTTCATTGAAGCAGTGATCCATATGAACCCCTCAATTCTTTCTCTATGAAAAATACTAACACTGAAAATTTTAAGCTGAATAAATTTTTTACAGTGAATCGAACACTACACAACTCGGAATTATTTGATATCAACTTGTTGACAAACATACAAAACCCAAAAAAACACCAATAATAATAATAATAAAGTCCGAGACCAAGAGCCCTGTGTATCTAAATGAATTAAAAAATGAATCCACAGCCTTAAAAAATGATGCTAAAACAACACATGGGCTACCTTGTTAAGATTAAGACGAGGATTGCCAAATGAATTCAAATTCATTCATCAAAAAAAAAAACCACACACGGAGAGTTCAAACTTCAGTACTGTGAAGTAGGGGAGAAGTGTCCCTGTCAGAGCTTCTGGCATGCTGAACTGGCCTCAGAGCTGGATCTTGATATGCAGTGACTAATTTATCATAAAACTCCGTCATGCCTGCTTCATTCAGGTCTTCCCTATCTTTTTTTATCAAACACTGCAGAAGCAGAACACAAAACATTTAGACATCTGGATGGCAACTACATATACTCTCATAAAGGAAATTATCAGAACAGAACATGAAATATTGGATTAGTCAGGATGTGTCGCTATATAGCAATAACTATGCAACTTCGTCAAACATTAATGGTCTCATCAAAGAGGAATCCTGTGAGGGAGAAATGAAAAGTCCTATCTTCCAATGTTGAAAAATGGCGCACTGTAGACTACAACATCCTTGTTAAAATACCTATTCTCTCCATGCATTGTTTCCCTTTCCTGGTTTAATGCCAGGCACAAATTCATCACCATATAAAACAGAAAGCTAAAACGGTAAACTCAGCACAGGGAACAGAATTCATGCAGGTTCAATCATGATGGTTTAGGGTCTTAACTCATCAAATATCATGACCTCTAAGAAGTTAAAAATGTGTGTTTGAAGGAAGAAGCCTCTCGGTGTCTCTATAAGATATTGCAAGCAAAAAAGATGAAAATGATAGAACTAGAATGGTTGAGAAGATCAGAGGTTAGTCATGAAATTATTTCATTTACCACTTGGTCATGAAACCTAATCTCTGCATTGATTCAAACACAGGATTTACATAAGAATTGAAAAGTTGGCATACTTTTAACACTCAATATGTAACAATTTTAGCAAAATCAACTCAGGAGTTTTTTTTTTTAATATATATACCTTTAGAAAAAAACATGAAACAAGGAAACTGAATTAACATAATTACTGTGCCATTCAATTAAAGAAAAACACACAAAGTACGGAAGGGAATGTTAAAATTTCCCCATCTATAAGACATGAAACATAAACTGGTACTATGGTTGTGTAGTGGAAGTGAAAGGGAAAAAAACCCAAGCAATTGAAGAGAATACCATGAAAGCATTAGTAGAATATAAGACTGTTAGAACCAGAAAAATAACAGATGCATGCGCCAATGTACCTCAGTAGGATAAGCTTTAAATAAAGGTAGGAACCGGTTCTGGCAGTACGCATTGAAGATGAGAGTGAGAACGGGAAGAGGAATAATTAAACTAGATGCCAAAGGTAGCTTCTTAAGCCCAAATATTCCAATTGCAATAATATGCATCAATATCAAGGAAAATATTGTCGAATTGTGCACTATAGGCCAAAACATCCCAGCTGTTTCATACTTTGGGGCATACACATTCAACAGCTGCAAAAATGTAAAATAAAAATACAAAGAAATATATATTAATATAACTTCCTTTAAGAACTCAATTTGGAAATTTTTGATAACACAATGTACTAATTAATTTTCATAAATCATGTTTAGACCCAAATGCACTAAAATTTGTAGTCCTGAAGTGTCAATTATATTAAGAATGTAAGATACAATAATATGGGTCCAGCAATGCTGTTAATTTGTCATTGCCTTTCAAAGCCAGAATTCTGCCAAAACAAAAGTAACCAACTATCGAATATGTCAATTTGACTTTTGAAAAAAGGCTCTAATCATCAAGACTTCAAGAGAGAGACTATAGTTTTACAGCATCATGGTGGATAGGTGAGGGCAAATGAAAGTGATTTGAACTGCTCAGATATTCACAGCAAGCAAGGCACAGAGCAAGTTGCTACTACACTAGCATTACCTTAAGTCACATGTATATTGGCATCTAATTGTTAAATTTCATAATGTGGGCATCAAATGGAAAAAAGTAACTTTACATGTCAGCCAAGTCCATATCCAAATTAAAAACCTGGAAGGATTGAAATTCACTTTTGATCCATTTTATAGATAACAGAAATCTAGGGTTTTATAATTCAAGATCACATGTCATCATGAAAATTATGTCTTCAGGAATTGTTAATACTCTTAATGCTTGCTGCATATGAAGCCTTCATGATCATCTAAATTAGTATCTAAAATGGAAAAACTAATTAATGAATAAAAAATAAAATAAGAAAGAAATGTTATGCTTACCTGGTTGCGAAAGATGATGTATCCAAGGCAAAAGTAAACCAAGAGAAATGGCAGAATTAGGGGAGAGAGGAAAAAGTACGTTATACCCAGAAGTCCAAAGAAGAGAATAGTGGGGATATCATTATAGTAAGGAATTGATGGAACCTCAAATTCATCCCCATCTTTTCCTGAAAATATTCTTTTCCAAAAACTGCAAACCAGTGGAATCAATCGGAAGAGTTCTGATGATAGATTGGTCCACCCAGAAGTCACAACATATGAAATGAAGAACGATGCCTAATAGAGCCAGAATAAGGAATCCATTATACTTGTGAATGTAACTTGTAGCATAAAGGAACTTAAGGTTCGTTCAAAATCACAAAACTGAGAAGAAACTGCTCATATTAGGAGAAAGGGCAAAAGTTGTAAAAGAATATACAGAACAGAGGTGCATTCCCACCTGACCTGGAACAGCTTCAGCTAGCACCCTGGGAATATTTTTGGGCTCAAGGAATACATTGACTAGATAGAAAGCTGACCCTGACAGTACATTTGCAAAGAAGATGTTCCATATGATAAACCATAGCATCTTGGAACAAGCACTTCTTTCTATTTGACTGCGAGAAATGTATCCTTGAATGGCGGAAAATGTTAACATAATTGGTGGAACAAAAAAAAGAAATAACTGCAGAATGAGACTTGGAAGATATCCTGTAATTACTTGACTGACAACAGTTCTGCAGCTCAAAAAATGGTGCATATTAGTTCCATGTCTTAACAATTAGACTTATCAATGATTTCAAATAACTTAAGAACTTCAAGAAATTTGAAAAACTTGAAATCAGTAATTAGTTCTTTCTAAGCTTCTCTAGATCTGCAACTTCACACAAAACCAACTAGGCACAATCCATCTCTATTTTCTAATCAGATCAAGATGCTTGATAACTATCTGAAGTTGAAGTTAGGAACAAAACAAAATAAATTACAAATTCTAATTTCATATTAACTTCGATGTGATTGCCAGGAAACTGATACTCAAAATCAATAGATCTGGATTGAAGCTAGAAGGAATAAAACCTTTATTTATGTTGATTATTCATGAAGTTATTGCAAATATTTGCAAGTGTTCTTGGTAAGGACATGCATTGCAAGCATGTACTTGATAGGTTCTAAATAAATAATGATAGTTTTTCATTAACATTATCATGGCCATATTATAGTTCCGACACCAATTTTTATTCAAATTTAAAAGTTACTTCCCCGCATAAAATATTCAATGTCCAGCCATTATCTATGTTTTTTGTGGTCCTAAAGTTTCCCTTTATAAAATTTTTCTAGAATAGAAAAGGGGGTCAAGTAGGCTATTAAATGAAAAATCAGGACACCACAGAAACAAAATGTGACACGGTTACAACCTGCTTCCTCTTCAGATATTAAAACATCCAGTTCAACAGTGAATGCCACATCACTAATTACTGTTTATAATGCATGCCAAGTTTTAGAGACAAGAAAAAATGTTTTTACATGTATCAGATTTGACCACAGTTTTTCACCAGTATGCATTAGATCATCAGTAGTGCTTCCCCTATTAATTGAATTCATTAATTCGTATATTCAAATAAATCTTTAATCATATTCTGCATGCTCAAAGTTTTAATAGCAGGTATGCAACTTAACAAGATAGTTAGAATTTTATAACATATATCTACATAAAATAAGCTCAAATAGCCTCAAGGGAACCCCATGATCGGCTTTGGGTGGATTATATCAATGACAAGTTACAATTTTCACTTACAGGCTCAGTATGCCTTTCAGAAAAGGAAACCATTTTTCCAATTGATCCAGATTAGCAAGACCTTGCACTATCACAACTGGAATAAGAAAAAGAACAATTAGAGCAAATGATGCAACAAGCACCACCAGTTTGAAGATCCATCTTTTAATGAATGATGCAGAAAAGAAAGCCCAGTGAACATCCTGAGGCTCAGGAGCTCGCTCAGTGACCCATTCTGTGGGATTAACCCCCTGTTGGATGTGTAAGGCTACTGCAGCACCAAACCGTGACTTGAATGAAACAAAAGCAGCTGGAACTTCCTGAAATTTTAAAAGTTTATATAGTAAGAGCAAAAGGTTGCATAAGATGTCATCTTTGCATTAACATCAAATGCATGAAATGGATTCTGTTACAATAGAATGTGAAGAAGGGTATTTTCCACACTTCCAGAGAACAGATGATCAGAGTTGAACTCAAACAAATGAGAACTTTCATATGTTTTGTGCTGTGTTCTATATTCATCCATCTATATGCGACCATACTCTATTACTATTCCGAAAAATTCTTCTGAACACAGGTGCATTTTATTGGCATGAATAGATGCAGAAGCTTTTTAAGCAATAACATCCCATGGCAAATGGCAAATCTTAGATTATAAATGAAGAAGAGTGCATAATGATTTGCAGTTCATCCTACAAACTGAAGTAGCTGCTCAATCTCAAACTCAGTTATTCCTAAAACCATCAAATTCATAATCCACTTTATCCAAAAGCTTCTGAAAGCTAGAATTATACACAGATCACCCTCCTAGAACCCCCTCCACAAGACTGGCAGTGGGAGGTGGCATATATGTTTTTAAAGCTAAGAGATGATTGACAGAGGAAACTGAAAGCTGTTCCCTTGTGTGCCAACAATTGCATTAATGGCCAAAGAAAACTTAAGCAGATTAAGTGGACACCATTCTCCACATAAATATCACTAGTACCATTTGAATGTCTCATATAATTATTAAATTCAAATACTGAGAACTGATGCCACGCACCTCTGCAGCCAATAAATTTTGCTCCATCCTCACATTATCTTCCAAATCTTCCAACTTCTTTTCATAGTGGTCTAAAAGATTAACTTTGCGTCCAATGAGTCCTAAAAAGCCATCACGTCTAAAGTTTTGCTGAGAATGGTTGTTTGATTTCATGCAGCCAAGCTTTCTATACAGTTTGTCCGCATCATTCTACCAAGGACAACACATTTTTAAACAACAGTAAGTAAGAGATTCAAAATGGTGACAATCAGATATATAAACAATGACCGCATATCATGTCAGTAAGGTCAGTCTTCTCCATGTACCATGAACATATTGAAATTTACATGATGACAATATATACAAAGCTTTCTAGAACATTTCAAAAGTTATGTTTGTGCATTGCAATAAAACACACAACTTTCATGACCAGTTCCCTTTTCCAAAAGAAGCTGATTTGATGCATCAATGAAAGGATGAACTTTTTTCAGGACAATCAGGCTTGAATTTTCAATTGTAAACATTGCCATCTATTTTAATCTTATGTAAGCACCCAGTTTTCCAAAGATGGTATCTTCAGGGATAACTAAGAGAGCATGATTGACAGGTCCAAAAACCGTTAAGTAAACACATAAATACAAAGAAAATGCATCATTCAAATAGAAAAAAAGGTTAGTAACTATGGTTCTGAAGTGTATGTGACACAATGGCCTGAAATTAGTTAAGTGGTCTGCACGTTCACCTAGAATGCTTACAATGAGATCTTGAATTTTGCTTGTTCGATGAACCATTGAATGTGAAAGATAAGTAGAAGGATGATACTCAGTGAAAAAACTCTCAACAGTTTCACTAAGGTTTCTTCCAGATGAGGAAGGGATACTGCGGACTAATATTGTAAACTGATGAGGCTGTGGTTTGGATGAATAGAAGTAAGCAATCCTTTTTGCCGACATATATTTATGCTCCTGCACATTGTGTAATTAACAAGTCAGAAATTCTCTGATTACTTTCATTTTTATGAACCAATAAGCCCGGTGGCTTTTGCAGAAGAAATAATAATAGTACTTACACAATACAGAAGATAGCAGACAACTCCAGTAAAAATATATGCAGCAGAAAAGTGAACCCATAACCTTGAGAGAAACCAAAACTAATAATCAGGGTAACTTCAACAAAGAATAGCTAAATGATTGTTTGATGCAATAAAGAATTATCCAAACCAATCTAACAGCAATATTTAGATGAGGCTATTTCAACAAAATGAAATACTCAACTTCAGAACCAATATAAAGTCGGTAAAAGCAGTAAAAAAGAAGAAATAAAACTTTAAGACAGCAGGATAAAAGAATAAGAATTTTTATTTAAGGCAAAAGGAGAGCTATGAGAATTAGCACAGAGGTAGAGTGGAATGCAGAAGTATCAAACAAGATGTCAGCAGTAACATTTTGTTATATGAAAATAAATTAAAAAGAACACAATTACAGACTAGAAAATATGAAATTAAAATGAAGTTCAATCCATCTCAATGAATTTTTCCTAACAATGCCCATAGTTTGAATGTATTTGGGGCGATGGGCATTTATTGGAGTTCTATCCAACCAAAATGAGTCAATTGCCAACCAAAGTAGAAGTTATCCTTGGAAAAAGTGGCAGCCTATGGTCTAAAGTGAGCTGAAATGACCTTTCCAGATAACATTCAGAAACTTCATTTTCATTATTATGTTGGTGCATTCCAAGTCATGTTTAATCCACATCTCAAACCATTATCCCCATTCCCAAATCAGTTAGCATAATGATATGATTACAGGTCATGACATTATGGAAAAACCAAACCAGCAAGATTTATAACAAGTTGTCTAGTACACCTGAATAAATGGTCAGTTTTATTCCCCTTATTATTTGCATGGTTCAAGCAGCAAAAGAATGGGGTTCCTGCATATCTAATAGCCATTTGAATAAAAAGTAATTATCCCATTTATAGTTGCCAGCCTGCAAGATAATACTCACCGACTACTAAGGGCTTTGGAAGTCTGATTTAGGGAAACTTTCTATGGCTGGGAGTACAACAAATTACTTTTCATCATTGAGGAAAACATAGAAAAGCTCAAGTTTCTGGAAAGATGAACATTTCTGCTGTTCTGGGCTTCCTAGGATTCTATGCTGAATTTCAAATTTAAGAAGGCAAGCTAAGAGAGCATTACAAAGAGTAAGCAAAGGGCCAATGAGAAACTTTATCAAATAAGAGGTTCTTATCCCATTATAATTTAGTATAACAGTCCCTTGGTAGGTTACAAGACAGACGTACTCTCAGAAAAAGTCAGCTTATACATAGACAGCTTCACTACCTCTGCTAGACAAGCACAAGGAAACAGAATCCGTTAGGAAACTTGACTCCATTTCCATATCAGAATTTACAGAAACATTTCTTGCAACAGAATAGGTTATTTTCGATTTTCTGAGTTTTGGGTTTTCCCTGCATTGTAATACCTAGGAACTAGGATGCATTGCTTTTAATGAAGTACGAGGTTTTTAAGAGGAAAAGGGAGATTGATGTTCTTTGGTGATGCCCAGTGTTTGCAATTATTTAATCCATTTGAGATCACTCAAGAGGCTTTTACATGTTCAGCTACCTAGGGATAAATTAAGTTTCTAGGCTTAAATATGGTGCACTCTCACAGGAACCTTTGGAAAAGAATATCTTTAGCAGATATGCAATAAGGTAAGGAACTCTTTGGTATTAGTATGATATTTTCCCCTTTCTATGGAGGATATATAATCCTTGAATTGCACTGCCCTCATTCTCCTCACTTAATATCTTTCTTTGAATTGCAGTGCCCTCATTCTCCTCACTTAATATCATTCTTTCTCAATAAAAAACGAAAAAGAAAAAGAAAATAGATGAAACTTTTCTTGCTCACTTGGTTACTCTTGGAGTCCCCTCCATGCACAAATTTCAAATTTTCAAAGAGCACAGAGAATGCATTCAACTAAAAAGGTGAAAAACAAGAAACTTGAACCGTAAATTGAAAAAAAAAATACATTGTTATAAGAGTTCTCAATGGAACTTTTCTATCAAATACATTTAATGATAAGTTTAATATCATATGGTTTGATCTTGTACAATTAGCAATGGCATTCTGTTCATCTAGCCAACTAATGATTACCTGTTTGAACCGTCATTGACATTTGATATACTAAATGAATCCAATGACTTGTTTGGCAAATGGCCAAAATCATCACTTAGCTGGTTCCCAAAATAATTAATTGGAAGAAGGATGGAGATTCCAATAACCCCAGCAACGGTGAACACTTTCAAGCTGCATTAAAAGAAGGATATGAAAAAAAGGCTGAAAGAAAATAATGCATGAATAGAAAGTCAAGAAAAATAGATTGTAGTGCAAAAGAATCATTAGGCATAGTAATATACTAATTGATTGGGAAAGGAATACAGGCAGTGGGCCTGAATGCATGGCAAAGAAAGTGAGGTTTTTGTTATAAGTGGAGAGAAAAAATGCATAAGTGTAGCTTCAGATAGTATATACCTCATTAAAAAGTACAATTCAAAATAGAAAGCCAGAAAGTCCTGTATGAATTGAATCTCAACACACCTTTTTGGACTCTCCTACTGTATCTTGCCACTAAATTTTTTTCTCACAACCATATGTTGAAACCCCAAGCATATATGTAGCCTATCAAGTAAAGTTTTCAACAGAGTCCATGACAGATGATTACTTCTGTTAAGTTGAAAGTTGTTCTCTAGAATCTAGACAATCTAGACATTCTTTCCCAGCTTTGTACTATGCATTCTGCTTAAGTTTAGCCTCGGTAATTCCTCTGCTTAGATTGTAGAATTCATCCTCAGAAAACACAAGTGATAAAAATTTGTTAAGGAAAAAAAAAACACTAAACTTTACTGATCCTTGACAAGAAATTCACCACCCGTCTGTCTTAATAAGAAACTTATAAGATATTCTCTCTTTTGTCTCCGTTATTTCTTTGTTTCATTATTTCCATCAAACAAATACAATTGTTCATCTTGAAATCCAAAAACAGGGATCAGTCAGTCATCTTTATTTTATTTTTTTTATACGACTCCACAATTCATTTGATGATCATTGAGTCTCTCTATTCTAATTTTTTTATAAAAAAAAGTTGTGATTTTTATAGATAATTCACATACAAAAAGGAAAAACTCCACCCTGATTAAAACTTGAAATCTTTTAAACAACTAAATGACATTTTTTTTTCCTTACCTGAAGGTGAAGATCCGAGTGAACACGAGACCATCTAAACCCGAAATTGACAAGATTTCATCTTCAGAAAGCTGCCAAGCATTTCTAACCCAACCAGCAGAAGGCAATAACCTTTCCAAGTAAAAATCATCACTCTCCTGTTGCTGAGATTTCTCTTTATCGACCAAACGGGGTGCATACACGTACAAATTACCAGGTTGCTTCCTCAATATTGAATACAAAGTGAAAAACAGCAAACACAGTCCAAAATTGATTCCAACTGAAGTTAAAAGAGCTGAAAGTATCATTTTTTTCTTCAAAAGAAGCTCACAAATCACACCATCAAACAATTATAAGAACTCAAGAACCCATCAAAGAACCTGGAAAAGGTGCTCCAAAGTTGAATCCTCTTAAAAGAAAAAAACTGTACCCAGAAGAGTAAAATCGTCATTAAAATTTCAAAAAGGAAGCAAAGTAAAATGCAAACTGTTGAAGATAAATACTCTTTCTGTTATTTTCCCTTCATTTCTAAGTCAACAGTCAATAGAAAACATGAAAAATAAGTGCAACAAGAGAAAGAGAAGTGAAACCTGGTCAAGAGGAAGGAAGATGAGAGTGAGTTGCAATGAGTAAGGCAGAACTCGGTGAGACGGTCGGAAGAGGGAAAAGGGGCAAGTTGGTTGAAGATCTCAAGTTTTTGACAAGGCTAAATTAATTGCATTTTTTAAAAATGAATACCCCTGAGCTAAAAATCTCTGACTTTCCACCCTAAACGATATGATTTTATATATATATATATATATATATATATATATGAGGATTTTGTTGGAGAAAAGAATAGATATGAGATCTTATTCTTATGAGAAAAATATTTTATTTAAAGAGTTATCATTTAATATTATAGTTAATAAAAATTTTAATTTATCGATATTAATTTTAATGATATAAAATTGGTTATGTGAAAGTAAAGATAATATCACTCCTTAAGTATCTTACTTAAGATAAATTGTATTGCAGGTTTTGTCTAAAAATGCTAAAAATATATTCTTTTTTTTTATTTTTTTTTTATTCTTCCTATTATATTTTTAACTCTAGCATTAATATACAGTTCATATTAATATTTTCAATTATGACGTTGGTAAATATTGTACAAACCTAAAAAAATTGTGATATTTCTAATTTTGACGTCAACGAATAATTTTATAAAAAAATAAATTTGAAGAAAAATTTTTCTATGCCATTTTCTTTTTGTTTATCCTTTATTGCTATTTTTTCTTTTTAGATGGAAATAAAAGAAACGTTATATAAATTTTTTTGCATTTAATAGTAATGGTTCATATATTGAGCACATAGTAGAAAAAATACAAACACACAAAGAAAAAAATAAAACAAAGTGTAAGGGAGCCATAAATGAATTCACGATGTTCCCCAAATATATTTGGGAATTTTTTGATATCAAAAAAGGACTTGTTTGACTAAATATTAAAATAGAAAGTGAATAAAACACATGGAAAAGGTATAAAAGTGTTTTTTACTAAACACAACTTTGGCTAAACACAACTTGGGTCAGTTGAGCTAAAATTATAGACCCAACCCATTCTTATCCTTCTCTTTTTTTATTGGGATGAATCTAGTCTAGGCTTATGGTCTGAGCCGAATCCAGCCCAGCAAGTTACCGGTTCAAACTAGTAACTAGTTGATTTTAACCCACATGTATGCGCTAGATCCACACACACACTAGCCATAATAACTATGTAATTAAAATGCAGGGGAGGGAAAAATGAAAACTTACTTGGAAAAACTAAGATTCTTCCGTCTACTTTTGTTTTCTTCCCCTTTATTTTTTTATTTTCTTGTCTTTTGTGTTGTGTTTTTTTCAATTCTTTCTCTGTTTTTTTATTTTTTTTTTCTTTTGGATTTTTTCCTCCTCAATCCTTTTAGAGAGCTTTACATTTATAGAGAACATCCTAAGTTCTCCCTCTGCACACAACTTTTCTCTTAATAAATATGGTTGGGAGGGAGGTGTTTGTTTTTTGTTGGGACTTGGACACCTAGGATTCAATCCTTATCTCTCTAGGATAATAATTTCCATAAAGATAAAAATTGCAATCTATGTTTTGGTTTGACTAAGATGCCATCATTCCACAATTTCTTTCCCTTCTTTTCAGGCGGATTTGCAATATCAGATAAAAAAGATGAAGAACAGTGCTTATTTAAAACGATATTATTTTGATTTAAAATAATCCTTTTTAATTTGATTTTTAAAGTTTTAAAATTTTGAATTCAAGTTTTGATATTTTAATTTTAAATTTAAACCATTTTAAAAATAAATTAAAAAAACAAATGGATTAAAATTAGATTATAACAAAGCATGTGAAAAAAATATTAATTTATAAAAGTCTCAGGTATGTGATGATAAAAAAGAACACAACTATAACGATCCAAAGCAATGCAAGGGCTCAAAACCAGAAATAAAAATGAAACTAGCAATAAAGTTAGAAATCGAATAAATTTTCAATGAAAACCTCCACATTAATTAAGATAAGAGAACGAATCTAAGAGATAGAATTTAGTATTGTTTGAAATGGTTTATAATAGAACATCGGGGCCATTATAAAACGAGGTAATACTCTAGTTATTAAAAAAAAATAGAGTAAAAAAAGAAAAGAGAAACAGGAACTTATATATTTTAGAGGTTTTTCAAAAAAAATTTCTTTTTAAGTTTTTCTCTCCTTTTTATATGAAAAGAAAAAAGAACAATACAATATTTTTCTTTTATATACAAACAACAAGGTAAAACATTAAAATTAATATATTTTTATATTTTTCATATTTAATTAGTGTGCATTTATATAAAATAATTGTAACTTTGACATGTTTTTCTTATTTTTTTCAAAAAATATTCCCCTATGTTCTCAATAATTGAATACATATTTTAATTATTAATAGAAAAAAATGAAGAAGAATATATTTTTTTTCTTATAATAGATATTTAGTTGAAATTTTGTTTTCTAATTTTTCTTAAAAATTATTTAAAATTATTTTTTTATATATTTTTAAGTCGTTTTGATATATTAATATTAAAAATAATTTTAAAAAAATAAAAAAAAATTTTTTTAATATTTTTTTAAATAAAAATATTTTTAATAACAGTCATTATTTAATTTCTAAGCATTGATTTAATACATCGAGCTGAAGAGAGGTGCTCATTGGCTGGCGAAAATCTAATTAACCTCACTATTAATAGAAAGAAACTCATAGGGAAAAGAAAAGGAGAAATCAAATCCCAATTTACCATATGATTTTCAATTTACCGCGTAATTTTAGTACCTTCCATTAAAATGCACTTGTAAGAGACCAAGAATTGGGCCCAAATAGAGTTCACTTGTAATGCCCTAATGACAACTCCAGCACCCTATAAATACCCCACATTCACTTTACATTAGTTCACATGAGTGGCGGCTGCGCTTAGAATCCGGTAAGTTCTTCCAACCTTTTCTCCTCCCCTTCCATCTGCTTGGCTCGATCGCACAGCACTGAAGGTTTAATTTGTTCAGATTTCATACTGCACATGTACTGAGGTCTGGGATCATCGAATTATATTGATTTTCAGACCTAAACCATGATGTGCAAATAATGAACACAAGGGACGCGCTTTGCAGCTTAAAGAGTTTCATGTTTTTGCTGCCTGTAATGCCCTGACATTGTTGCAAGCGAATTCAAAACATTAACTACTCACGAGAAGTCTGAGTTCTTGGGAGCTTAACTACAGTTTTTGCAGTTACTTTGTTGCTAAAGATCTTAGATATCAGCTAGAAATAGTAGGATCATACAGTTTGATGCTTTGTGGCGAATTTGGCCATAAAATAAATAAAAAAAATTATTTTAACTTAATTTCTAAACCCTTAATTGAAGCCAATGTGTAATTATCCTTCGATAGGACACTGGTGGTGCTGAGGCTAGTTGTCCTTGAAATCGATGTGCGAATATAGATTCTGGTTGTCTTTGGCAAAAAGAAAAGTTCTGCTCCACGTCCTCCATCACCTTTAGTTGCGTTGTTTTCTTGTGAAAAAGAACCCACATTCTTGTGGTTATTAATCTTTCTCAAGGGTGAGGGCACTGTTGAGAGGAATTATTAGAACATTGCCTGCATTTATTTTATTCAAGTGGGAGAGTAATATCCCAGAATAATTGCTCAAATTGCTGGTCCGAACAATTTAATCATTTGAATTAAGAGACTTTAATCAACTTTTATATTGGGAATATTTTTTAGCATTAAGAGTTGAATCCCAAATAGAATCGATCCTTTCGAACTTGTACAAAAATAAATGAGACCCTATCCCCTGTGATTTGCTAAGTAATGGTGAGGATTTGCTAGGGTCTTTTTTTATTTTTAATTTGAGGTTTCCTCCTGTTACTGTTGGCAACGGGGTTTTCAGAAGAGAAAGAGAACAGTGCTGTAAATCTTTTTTAACTTTGAAGTTTGCCATACCTATCAAAGAGTTTTCTTTCCAAAGGCTTCAGCTATCTTGCCACCCTATTAAATGGAGGTTTTCGAGGTTATTTTTTGTCATTATTGAAGTTTAAATCTTTTCCATTTGCAATGAAGTCTTGCTAATGAATCCTCTAAATTGTTGACCAAAAATAAAAATCAAAATAATACCTAGAAGAATGTCGAACTGTAATGTATTGAAGTTATCCCATGTTGTTTTCTCCTATTTAAGGAAACTTCAAGTAAGTACATGTTTAAGCAATACGATGCAAATGCAAGTAGTCCTGCAAGTTAACACATGGATCAAGTCAAATAAGTCATCACTCTTTGTAGTGGTAATGTTATTAAAAAACCCACTCTTAAACCTTGTGAGAAAGATGATGAGTCAATCTCTAAGGGTAAGGAAGGAGTTGAATCTGAATATTGCAAGGAAAAGACTGATTCCCTGCCAGCACTTCCATTTCCTCATGCCATGATCAATCAGGAAGACATCGATGATGAAAAAGGCATCGAAAATGTTGACGGGGATCTTTTATCAAAAGTGACAATAGATTCGACACCCGACATCACACCAATCAATTATTCATTTCCTGATGAATCTCTACTTTCTCTTAGTTCAATGCTTTGGTTTGCTAAAAATATCAATTTTCTTGCTTCAGGACCTCTGCCAACTCACTAGAGTACCGAAGACAAAATAAAATTTTTGAGCAACGTGCAAAACTTTTATTGGGTTGACCCTTACTTATTCAATTATCGTCCTGATCAAATATGTCAAAGATGTTTTCCCGATAATGAGGTAAGTAATTTCATTAAATTTTGTCACTCTAAGGCATGTGGGGATCATTTCTCATCAAAAAAAAGGACTGTAGAAATCTTACAAAGTGGATTTTACTAGCCCATCATATTCAAGGAGT